CATATAAGGGCCCTTGTGACTACATTGAGCCCACTCAGTTAATTTAGGGTAATCTTCCCCTGTCAGGATCCTTAATCACATCTGCAAAGTCCCTTTTGCCATATCAGGTAGAATTCACAGATTTGGGGGATTAGAACATGGACGTGGTTGGGGAAAAGAGGCATTGCTCAGTCTATCGTAGGCTGTGATGGGCTCCTGTCTTAGTCTTCTTGAGCTACTGTAACAAAACACCATAGACTGAATGGTTTCAATAACAGAACTTCATTTCTCACAGTTCTGGAGGATGGAAGTCTGAGATCAAGGTGCCAGTATGGCTGGGTTCTGGTGAGAGCCTTGTTCCTGTAACCTCACAGGCAGAGACCAAGAGGAAGCTTTCAGTCCTCTCCTTATAAGAGCACTACAGTAAATCCCCTACATATGAATGAGTTCCACTCTGAGAGTGCATCAGTAAGTCCAATTCATTTGTAAGTCCAGCAAAGTTAGCCTAGGTACCCAACTAACACAGTCGGCTATATAGTACTGTACTATGTAATAGGTTTGGGCTTTCCTGATTGCTTAGCTGGTAAAGAATCCACCTGCAATGAAGAAGATGCAGGCAGACGCAGTTTCAATCCCTGGGAAATCCCCTGAAGGAGGAAAATCCCCTGAAGGAGGAAATGGCAACCCACTCCAGTATTCTTGCCTGGAGAATACCTTGAACTGAACACAAATGATACATATATCAACACAAAAACTAAAGAAAACATTTTCAATCTTACAGTACAGCACCTTGAAAAGTACTATAGTACAGCACAACTGCTGGCATATAGGGGTGAGTTCACATCTTTGAAAGTTCATAACTTCAAGGTTCGTGTGGAGGAGACTTACCGTAATCCTATCATGAGGGCCCCACCACCATGACCTCATCCTCCCATAATTACCTCCCAAAGGCCTCATCTTCAAATACCATCTCATTGAGAGTTAGGGCTTCAACATATTAATTTTAAAGGCATAATTCAGTCCATAGCAACCCCCAAGCAAGGCAGAAGCAGCCCTAGGGAGGACCATTAGAGTAGGAGCCAAAGCTGAGCCCATTGCAACAAGCAGGTAAACTGAGGCCAGCAGTGGCTCATAAGCAGGCCACACACCAGTATCTGGAGATTAGTCAGCAGGGACCAGTGCCCCAATGCCTAGGCTGAGATGGAATGAACTGGGCTGGGCTTTAAGGATGGCTCCAGGCCCCATGGAGGCTCTCGGGTTAATGGGACTAAGCCTATAGACTGGGGGCAAGCTGCCCCAGAAGTAGGGAGAGGAGGGAAGCAGGGACTGGGAACCAGGCAGAGCCTGACCCCAAGCCTCGTCCTCATTCCAAGAGAGCTGCAGCTGTGTCTAATTCGGGCATGATTAGATTTGAGAAAGGTCACTCTCTCCCTCAGTCAAGTCCATTTTGCCATCATTTATTGAATACCTGCTGCCTTCCAGGCCCTGAGCTGGCTGGAGGGGCCTGGAGTGAAGAGAGAGACTTGGTCTCTGCCTTTCAGGTTTGTTGGAGAATCAACACAAACACACACACACACAATAACTAAATAACCACGGAAGGAGCAAAATGAATTAAAACAGGTTCTAAAGCAATCAGGAAAGGCTTCCTGGACAGGGCAGCTCTCAGAAAGACTGGAAAGATCTGACTTGGCAGAACAGAAGGCTATCTGTGTGATAGGACAAGACGCATGAAGGCACAGGTCGAGGGTGTATGTGGAGTCATTGAAAAGACTTCAAAGTGCCAGTCTGGCCAGTGTGGAAGATTGAGGTAGCAATGAATCAAGGAAAGGCAGACTGACTAGCTGAAGCTGGCAGGGCATGCAATCCCCCATGAGGATTTACAGACTTCATTCTTCACTCAGCGCCTCCCCATCAGGTCCACAGGCAGAGCTGGTGGCCACTGGTCCACTCACATGGCCTTGCCAGCTGGCGCCCAGTCTGATGGCTGGGTCAGGCCACTCCTCCCAGTTTGAGTATCCTCATCTGCTGGACAGCTGTGATCACTTTCAAGGAGATCCACAACACATAAGAGAATGGAGAGGACCACTTTTCACAGCAAAGAAATAGGCTACATTGTCTTTAGTCTGCTGACCATGAAGAGGGAGGAGGAAACCTGACAGAAGGGTCTTCTACTGATCCAGGCAGAGGCAAATGAGTGAAGGTTCAGAGTAGCTGGCTTGGGAGGGGAGGGAAAGACAAAACCAGGGTCTTCTTTCCTTGTCTTCTCAATGGGGGAGTCCAACAGGAAGCAACCAGGAGTAGGCCAAGCTCAAGGCTACCTCTATCTGAAGAGTTGCATAACTTATGTGCTGTATGGACTATTATTACGGCCCCCAGTTCTGGGTTTGAAACTTTGGAGGTAGCACATAGAATCATTATCTGTTCTGCTACTGTACCACTTTTCAGCCCCCTGGGGCATTTCCAGGGTTTATAGGTCCATTAAGAAACCCATGTTGTCTTCCAGCCCTAGGTCTGTTGTCACTTAAAGATGAACAGCCACGAATGCTCACCCTTCCTCAGACAAGCATCCTCCCCTTGACTGCATGGACCTACAACCCATCTCCTTCTCGCCCATCCACCTGGCAGCCTGGCAGATGCTCACCCACTTGTAGCAATACCATGCTACAGCCTCAGTTTGCACATCAGATGGGGAACTGTCAACACGGGAAGTGGAATCAGGGCCTTCCAAGCATAGTGGTCAAAATCTGGGGTTACCAGGGGATCCTGGAGGTTTGTAGTGGGTTGAATGGTGGCCCCCAAATATGTGCATGTACTAGTCTCCAGAACCTGTAAATACTGTCTTCTATGGCAAAAGATGTTATTGACTTAAGGATTTTGAGATGAAGAGATTATCATGGGTTATCTGGATGGGTCCTAAATGTCATCATTTGTATCAAAGAGACACATAAGGGAAGATAGCCATGTGGAGACAGAGGCAGAGAGTGGAAGGATGTGGCCACTAGCCAGGGAATGCTGGAGGCCACCAGAAGCTGGCAGAGGCCAGGAAGTAATCCCCCCTAAGGCCTCCAGAAAGAACGGAGCCATGCCAACACCTTGATTTCAGATCTCTGGCTTCCAGAGAAGACATTTCTGCTATTCCAAGCTACTCAGTTTATGGTACTTTCCTTCAGGAGCCATAGGAGAGTAATAAAACACAGGAAATTCATGCCAAGGGGACACGACTCTGGCACTGGTCCCAGTGTAAGATCCCCTGGGACAAGACCCCATCTTAACCCAATCCTGACCAAAAGGCTTTTAGATCAGACAACTAGAAAGCATCTTTCCTCCCATAGAAGAGCCTACTGGCAGTCCATAAAAGAGTCAACACCGTTCCACAGGGACATGCTTGGTAGGCTCCTTTGCTGGAATTGATCTCTTTCTCATAGAGGGTGGGGGTCACAGCATCCCCTCCAAGTTCTTACCTGGCAGGTATGCTTGTAGGGTTTGGAGCTCCCATAATTGTTTAGGGGAGGTGAACCTGACCCCAGAGGTGAGAGAGGAAATATAAGCATCAAATGTGGGTGATGCCGAGGTGAAAGGGGCAACCAAGTATACAACTCTAGCCTCAGGACCCCTCAGGGGGACTGGGCCAAAGAAAACATAGTCAGAGGGAGAAATAGGAGATCCTGAAATGAAAGGCCCCAGAGCATGTGCCCCAGAACGTGGCGATAGACGTGGGCCTTGGCAGCGGGGAATCCTGGCAGCCAGACAAGCTGTGGTGTGTGTTCATAGAGATAGAGCCCCAGAACGAAGGAGGTGAGAGTCCTGCTCCCCGGCTGTTTGTCCCTTGATGTCTCAGCTCACTCTGGATTCCAGGTTCTAAGAGGCCTGGTGACTGACAGTAGTGTTCTAGGGGGATAGGCCCCCAACAGGAAGAGAACGCAGGCCCAGAGTCTCCAAGGCAGGCATGGGGGACTGTGAATGAGGTCCTCAGCTCTCCAGGGGGCTGGCCTGGGACTGAGAGCAAGGTGATACCTTGAGGTCTCTCTTGTGGAAGCATCCAGAAGCAGGTGAGCATTACCCACAAAGAAGCCCTGGATGGCAGCAGAGCTACCCAAAGGTAAAAGTTTCTGCCATTGCATGAGTCATTTTCAAGGCCAAGTTGAGCATGAAGCTAATCATGATTTGATGTTTTAAGAGGTAGAAAGCAACAGCTCAGGAAACCAACATCACGTCTCTGGAGCAGTGAGTGGGTCCCCCTGACAGCTGCTCTGTCACCTGAAGAGGCCTCTTCCAAGAGGCTGGGTGTTGGGTGACAGTGTGTGTTTTGAACATTCAGGAGCCTCATCTGCAGATTTCCAAGTGGGTTCGTGAGCATCAATTTTTGCATAAGGACAAGTTGAAGGTCATCATCATAATTCAGAATCTGAGTTTTGTTTTCCTAGGGATTTACAAATAAAATTGTGATCCTTGAAGAAAAATAAGATAAAATCCAGAGAGCCAGGAAACCCATCCTGAACCGGACAGTTGGTATCTTCCTTAGGAAATGGCATTTATTTTTAAGTGAGCAGTGGTACTTTTTCCATCTCTCCCTGGGGATAAATATAGCAGGGCGGGCTGACATGGTCCCAGGGAGGCAGTGGCCACAGGGGCAGTGCTCAGGACCAGACAGCCAGAACGTGGTGCCTGTGAAGCAGGGTGCTGGCAGGGTGTGGCCCGGGATGATCAGGGGCCCCTGTCACCTGAGGGCCCACCAAGTGGTATGTTGCATGCCAGGTAGCTAGGCTGCCACTCAGTGAGAGGTCAGAGGGAGTGCCAGCCTGCCTGCCTGCCTGCCAGCCTGCTCTCTCAGCATTTGGATTGGGCAATTCTAGAAAGGCTGCAGCCTACAAATCAGGGGGCTGGCCCTCACAGTGGCCAGGTAAGGAGAACACACCGCTTGAGGCTGCAGACAAGGAGCAGCTTTGTACATTTGGTGTTAACATCGATGTTGTTCAAGTGTGTCCTGGTGCCAGGTGAGAGACTGCCTTCAGGCAGTACAGTCAGCTAGAAGACAGCTTGTCCACGGCCAGGGAGTGCTGGCCAGGGGAGCTGAACCTGGGGCTCAGGCAAAAGTCTGGAGTCTGAGTGAGGGAGCAGGCCCTGCCCATGAGAAGCTGGAGGCCCAGGTGAGAGGCCAGGAGAGCTGTAAAGAGATCAATGGTGGGGAAGCCATAGGCAGATGGAGATTCCCTGGAGAGCAAACAAGAACAAATGGGCAGGCGACACCCCCGCCAAGCCTAGGAGGTGGGACACTGGAGTTGGTCTCTGCTAGCCACTGCCTCCCTCTCTGAGATCCTTTCTCTCTCTGGGCCTCAGTTTCCCCATCATTGAGTAGCCTGATCCAGATTGTTCCAGACCATTCTGGCATGGCTAATTCATGATCTTCCCTCCAGAGAAGGGCACTCACATCAGCCCACTGGTGTTAGAGTCATAGGGCTATCAACTGGGGAGCTAAAAACAGCAGAAACTTATTCTTTCATGGTTCTAGAGACCATAAGTCCAAAATCAGTGTCACTGAGCTGAAATCAAGGTGTTGGCAAGGTCACATCTTCTCCTGAGGTTCCAGAGTCAACTTGGGGCCTTGCCTCTTCCTGTCTCTGGTGGCTGCTAAGGTTCCTTGGCTTGTGGCCACATCCTTCTGGTCTCTACCACCATCCCCACTCGGCCTTCTCCTCAGCATGTCTGTGGCAGATCCCTCTGTTCTAAGGAAGTTTGTGACTGCATTTAGGGCCCATTCAGATCATTCAAGTGTCTTCCCTAGTAGCTCAGCAGTAAAGAATCTGCCTGCAATGCAGAATATGCCAGAGACCCAAGTTTGATCCCTGGGTTGGGAAGATCCCCTGGAAAAGGAAATGACAACCCACTCCATTATTCTCGCCTGAAGAATCCCATGGACAGAGGAATGTGACTGGCTACAGTCCATGGGGTCACAAAGAATCAGACACAACTGAAGTGACTTAGCATGCACAAAAGATCACTTCTCGGCCTTTTGGCTAAGATCAAGTGTAGCATGCACAAAAGATGATGTCACAATCTCACTTCTGAAGAGCAGCACCTAGGCTCCTGGGAATGGCTTCTCTTATCAGAGAGCTGGCCCCAACCAAGGGCTGAGGGCGGCTGGGCATATTGTCAAGTGGCCAAACTCAGGATGCACATGCTGGCTGCTTACATGCAACAACATGGCCAGGTCACAGTGCCCAGGTGTTTGGTCAAACACTAGACTGGATGTTGCTGTGAAGGTATTTCTTAGATGTGATTAACATTGAAATCAGTTGACTTTGAGCAAAGCAGATTATCCTCCATAATGTGGCTGGGCCTCATCCAATCAGTTGATGGCCTGAAGAGCAAAGACTGCGCTATCCTGAAGAGAAAGGAATTCTCAGCACAGAAACCCTGCCTGAGAGTCCAGCCTTCAGCCCCAAGACTGAAACAACTCTCACACGAGTGTCTGGCCTCCTGGCCTGTCCTACAAATTCAGACTTGCCAGCCCCCAGAAATCATATGAGTCAATATCTTAAGACGATAGATAGTTAGAGTGGTAATCTCCTTTGGGGTCTGTTTCTTGGGAGAATCCTGACTAAGGCAAGACCTGTGTGGTCTTGGAGGGCTTCTGAGCTCTAAGGCGGGAGTGAGTAGGCCCTGGACACAGCCCACACCTCAGCACCCTCCTCCCTCTCAGCCTTCTGAGCAGCTCATCTGCTCCCAGACCCAGCCCTGCCCTGTGAACACATCTGTGCTTCCTTCTAAGGCTCCCTCCGTGTGCATGCTCACATCCACATTAGGACTGGTCCTCCACAGCTGGTTCCCCACTCTCCCTGGTGGGCCCAGACTTGGAGAGTTCACTTTGAAGAGCTGGGGTTCAAAGTCTAGCCATGCCCCTTCACATCTCATACAGAACAAAGGAGGTCCCTGTATTCCCTGATGGTCATTAACCCATTCAGTTCCCACAATAACCCTAGAAGGTAGGGACCACTGCACCATCACTTTCAGATGAAAAATATAGGGGCTCAAAAAGGTTCCATGGCTGGCTTGATGTCACACAGGTATCAGAGAGGTGGTTGAGAGCCAAGGGTCCATCTGTGACTCAAGAGCTCCATTCTTTCTATTATATCCACCACACACAATCACTCATCTCTGTAGAACTGGCTTAAAAATAAGGCTCAGACTCACAGAGGGGAGGCTTCAGAAACGTGCTCTGCCTTCCGAAGGCACTCAGGGTTCAGGCTCAGGCTTAGACACAAGCGTTATAACTGATCTAAGTGGTTACCTCTGTGTGTTCGAACGTTGTGTCTGTCAGGAGCTTGAGGCTCTCAAAATTCAGAAATCACTTGGGAAGTGGATTCTGCTAAGCACAGTGACAAAGTCCCAGACTCATTTGACCAAGTTGGGGAGGAGTCTAAAGAGAATGGGACATCTGGGAAAGAGAGAGACTTTCTTCCAATGACAGTGTTGTCATTGAACTTGAATTTCAATAGAGGTGGTGAGGGCTCCATGGAGACTGGGACATGCTCTCTGGGGGAAGAAAAGCCTGAATTCAGCTCCAGCCAGGATAGCAGCCACGCTAGAGGGGAATTCAAGAGAGATGCAGAGAGGCCTCTCTGCCAGGACTCCAGCCTTCCCATGAAACTGGTCCTGGAGCAGAGAGAGGTGCACATCCACCCACGTGGCATCTGATCTCCATCCTCGCTGGGCTGGGGAGCATCACCCAAGAGACTGTTGATTGTACTTCCAAAGGCATTTCAGCTCTGAATCAGAAGCAATGAGCAGAGCAAATGAGGAACATTGGATCCCAGGGAAGAGGGACCTTGGCTGGGGGAAAACACACTCTTGGGAGACATACAGCCATCCTGATGATGGGAAAATGCCGACAGATAGGATGAGGGGTTTAGCACCTGTTGGTGGGTCCAACTGTCCCACAGTCCATGTATCCACACTTCATTTGGTCTACCCACCCTTTCCATCCATCCATCCATCCTCCATCTGATGCCTCCCTCCTATCCTATCTGAACCTTGATTCTGGGTCTGGCTCTGGGCTGAGCTCTTTGGTAGGAGGTAGGGAGAAGAACCTGATGTGGACCCACTGTCTTTCTGCACCTTTGTCCTGACCTGGCAAGTGTTCACAATTCCATCATGCTTCTGCCAGGGGGCTATTCCCCACCTCATCTCCCTGAAGAACTGGCAATAAACATCCCTGTGTGGCAGGTGGGAAAGCATTGCCCAAAGATACAAGGCTCGAATCCCCAGAATCTGGGGTCATTTCTTTACATGGCCAAAACCCAAGATTAATTTTTAGGATCTTCAGATGGAAAAATGCTCCTGAATTATCCAGATGAACCATGAGTAGAATCCCAAGTGTACTTCTAGGAGGGAGATTTGACATACACAGAAGATGAGGTGAGGCATCCACGGAGGTGGAGGCAGGGGTGAGGGGTGGATACTTCCCCCAAGATCTCCCAGAGGGACTGTGACCCCACTGACACCTTGATAAGTCAAACGATCTGGAGTTTGGACTTCTAGACTCCAGGCCATGAAAGAACCCTTTCTGTTGTTTGAAGCCACCCTGTCTGGGGGGTGGTCAAGAGTCAGGAAGAACCTATGTCAATATGCAGGCTCTGGCACGCGTTCAGCAAATGGTAACTCAGGTGAGCATCCACAGGAAGTACCAGGCCAAGGGGTATGGAGAGTTCAGTCAAGAATTTCAGGGACTTTCCTGGTGGTCCAGTGGTTAAGACTCTGCACTTCTAATGTGGGGGGAGGGAGCAGGTTCAATCCCTGGTCAGGGGGATCCTGTATGCTGTGCTGCAAGGCCAAAATATTTAAAAATGATTTTATAAACAGAATTGCAAATACTTCAGGCTCCACAGTCCTGGTTAAATGAAAATCCTCACTGATCTCTGAGGAGAAACAAGAAACATTAAGTTGATTTGATTCATCAGTAGAAGACTTTCTTCTTTCTAAGTAGACCTTTGTCACACCAAAGCCACTGTGAGCTCCATCACCCCACAGTTACCCTCCAATGCTGCAAATAGCTCCCCTCCTGCCTGAGGGAGAAAAACAACAGCAGAGAATTGCTGCTGGTGTGTGTGTGTGTGTGTGTGTGTGTGTGTGTGTGTGTGTGTGTGTGTGTGGCCATGAACAACAAATTGCTGGGCTTATTAGATGCTACCAAGAGCCTCATTGTGGAGGAGCCAGACGAATCCTCTTCCCTTGGTCTCCTGAGCTACTCCCCGCTCTGAGCAAGCAGCAGTTTATTATGAATCTTATCCGATAGCAATATTTCCATTTAGCAGCACATATATAAGCTCAGCTTAGTCCAAAAAGATGTAATATGAGATATGTCTGTCTTAGCCACTGTCTGGTCTCTGTAATTGAAAGCTTATAATTAGTGTGAAGTCACCGGTTTGGTCCCACTAGAAGGGCCTTGGATGGGGTGTGGAGGAGAGGTTGCAAAAGGCCCAGCCACAAGAAACATTTCCTAAACACTGGTTAAAGAGCCCCTCGTTGCCTGGGGACCCCACTGTGCCCCTTTGGGCTAATACCAAGCCATGGGTCATCCATTCCCTGGTCTCTCTGCAGTAGGAGGTCATGTGTCAACAAGCCCCAACGTCAGATGGCCTGGGATTTTAGCCCCTCATTTTTGCCTTCCACCCACACCTAGTCCTGGCTTTTTGCACATGAGCGAGAGTTGGTCTAGTGGGTGCCAGCCCCTGCCTGGACCCCATCTACAACTGAGCTAGGGTAGGAGGAAAACAGAAAATTCTCCCTCAGTGCTGTGACAGGCACTGAATTAGATGCTGATGACTCGTCTGAATTAGGTAGAGAAGCCCACACCCAAGGGTCTTGTCAATCATGGGATGGTGGCAGGGGCAGAGGGGGGCAGGTAGCTGCACAAGTATTTAAAAGCTGTAGAACTTTTAGCAAGTCACTTCATCTCTCTGGCCTCAGTATCCTCATCCATAAACTGGGGCCAACAAGAGTATCAGAAGATGAGTTTCTAATGAGGTAAGGCATAGGCTTGGCATATACGCACTACCATGTGTAAAACAGACAGCTAGTGGGAACCTGCGATATAGCACAGGGAGCTCAGCTTGGTGTTCTGTCATGACCTAGAGGGGTGGGATGAGCGGAATAGGAGAAAGGTCCAGGAGGAAGGGGGGGGGATATATGTATACATATAGCTGATTCACTTC